CTACAAATCGGAATGACCTGAAATTTAGAGGGTATGTACATTTTACTGAGGCGCATCTAATAAAAATATAAAAAAAATTATCCACCAAAAATAAATTGATCAAAATACCCTCAAAACTTTTCGGGGGTATTTTGTTCAATGTTTTTCATGTAAAATATTTTTTTTATAATTTCCGATGATTCCCCTATTTTTGATGAATACACGCTCCAAATTTTAGGTCATTCCGATTTGTAGAAAAAAAATGAAAAATGAAACACTACAGGACAATTGTGACTGCGCGATGAACTTTGGATGGTGATGGGAGTAGGCGAAATCACTGTTCATTTTCGCCTATAGGCATTGCATAGTGTTTTCCTATATATTTATATACACACACACGCACATACACAATCATACATAAGTGTTGTTTTATTTTTAATATTTTTTTGTAAATCTGTTTGACCTCAAATTTTGGGATAACGTGTGCTTCTCACCAAGGCTAACCAAAACAAAATATCACAAAGATAATATCAAAAACTCAAAGTTGACCAAAGTACCCATGCCCGTTTTCATGTCATCCTTCATTCCATAGTTGCAGGAATTCATTTGAATCCTCGTGTGAAAGCCTAGGCCCTCATCTGATTAGCAGGATGTCAAATCCAATGATCTTAGCAGCATAGTTGCAGAAAACCCTGAACGGATTTAGGGTTTCCAAACTGTACGTTGAATTTTTGGACCTTGTCAGGCTCCCACTCTACTATTGCAATGGATCCAGTCGTGACCGACTGTAACTCATCTTCAGAATCAAAGGCTTTTCCCAAGGATTTGCAAGGCTGTTGGGAGTTAGAGACTGAATCAAATCTGAAGTGTAGTCCTCCTTGTCGCTAATGTGTGCTGTTCTGATGCGCCTTTTTTCCTTCCTTTAGAAAGTGACCCCTTGCCAAAGTTGTAGCAATTGGGCTTCCCCTTTCTGGGTTGTTTTTCTATCACCATGCCAATCCTCCTGGAATATTTATGGGCCTGCTTTTGAGAGAAAGGTCTCTGTCCTTCTGGGTGTGATATTGATGTTTTGGGGGTCGCTTTTCTTCTGGTCATATCCTAGATCGAATTGTCGACACACCTGCTTGCTTATCTTATGGTCTCTGGCTTCAACTTCTGCCACCTTCTTCTTTATACACTGATCGATAATAAGTGATTCTGTCTTAGCCAAGAGGAGGCCATATGTGACCTTGGCTGGATTGATTTCTTTGAAGTGATTCCCAGCAAGGTCTCCAAGGTGGTTCGGGAGGCTATACAAGAATTTCTCCTTGTCTATTGCCTTCTGATTGTCGGGTAGGGGGTATACTCTCTCCATGAAGGTGAACTTGTATTAGTTGCATTGGGTCTAGGAGGGGATGAATAGAACTAGAAGCGCTTGCTGGGGTTTGCAGTCCAAGTCTTAAAGTGGATCCTGACGTTGCCAGCAGACACTTCAACAGGTTTGGGTATCTTATATCTGACATCAGTTTTTGCCATTCAATCCTTGCACATATGGAGAGGGTTTCATGTATCTTTCTTCTCACTTTTATCAAGATGGCCCCACAAGCGCCTGACGGTTCTAATGAGAACCTGATTGAGAAGATCAAGGGCCTCCAGCTGTGAATTTTCTAGTTACGAGGTGGGCATTGGTATTTTGGTCATTTTAAATTTTGTATATTATTTTTTTGATATTTTGTTTTGGTTCGCCTTATTTAGGCCCATATACCCGCAAAACTCTCAGGTCAATTGGATTTATAGTAAAAATATCAGCAATCAAATGGCCATCAGATCAATCTAGATCCAGTTAGATCTTTGTGCTAATACCTTTCCATATATACATGATACTTATGTTATATAAAATATATATAATGCATTTATTTTATAGTGTGACCTGGTCCCGACCGAGGGTTGTGTCTGTGTCGACTGACTTGGACCTGGCCGGGGTTTGGGTCCACCCTGGACCTTGCCAGGTTCAGGTTGTGGTTGGGCCCACCTGGACCTGACCCCTTTACCGCGTACTTGTGAATTATTAGGTTCATGCTTACTGTTTGCACCTTCAAAGGGATCGGTCCTAGAAAAGGGTTGGATCGAGCATGAATCTACTTGAAAGAGTTAAGAAATCTGTCATAGTGCTGGATTTGGAGGAATCTTTAGAAATGCAAGGGAATAGTTCTTCCTATTGTTGTGGTGACTTTTCTCCTGTAGCTTAGGTCCAGATTATATTGTTTTAGATCCTGTTATGACCATTTCATGTGCTCCTAATCGAACGGAATTATGCACTTCATGCTCTTGATTTAACTCTTCTAGATCAGAGTTAAATTAAGAGAAAATATCAAATCTGTACCTAGAATGTTTGTATAAGTCATGGAGGTGCTCTAAAAGTGCAAAATTTTGAAATAATTCTTGGATTAATCATTATTTTGAAGTGACTCTTTTATCCTCAGCCTAGTATAACTGACACTAACGAGATAACTAAATATCTGATCGCGGTAAAATAGTTAATTCTCTAGATAAAAAATGACCTTTACAGGTGCTGTTTATCTGTTTCAAGGTTTTGGTGGATCTGCGTGATGTGTGCAGTGTAACACTGTCTTGATATTTTTCCTTGAATAAAAAGTCTCATTTTGACTTAATGTCTTCCTTGACGAGATTGATTATATTATTTTCTGTGCTAACCTGGCACAAATCTCCTTGTCTAGTGGGAACCAATTATTGTAGGATGCATGATGGCAACTTCCAGGGAATTTTATAATTTACTATGCATGATGATAATTCCTTGAGATGTAATGCCTTGGACAAGGGATAGGCCGATTCTACTCAATGAGAATTTGGTTTATGCTCATGCTGTTGTTGTTAATGTATTTTACTATGCATGATAATCATTCCTTAAGATTGAATGTTTTGATCAGGTGTTGAGTGATCCTATTCCACTCGAACTTGGTTTCTTTCATGCTCACGTCATAAATCAAAAGCGCCATCATAATTTTTTATGAAGATATAGACGGGCATTTTCCTGGGTTCCATGAATGTGGGCATTTGGTGAACAATTGATTTCTCCCGAAAATATATGCTTCTGCATTTCACTGTTCTAGTGAGCAGTCAGCATGAATTTGGAAGTTGAAATGTAACTTACCACATTCAACTCGTGTTGTTTTAATGTGGAATTCTCATATCTTCTTTGCTCAGGTTGGTCGTGTTGATGGATTAAGTTCACATGGTAACAGGAGTGAGACAACCTTCACTTGGACAAATGTACTGGAGGCTACTCCCACTTCCTCTTTGTCAACAGGTGGGTTATCTGGCTGTCACTTGTTGTTTATCTGTTCTTGCCATTCTTGTATTTTGTATCGTCTAAGGTCTTACTTTCAAATTCATCTCATCCATAAAGTGAATTATTTTCCTTGCCAGTTAAGCATTCATTCAAGAATTTTCCTTTCATTTGATGTAATTTATAATCATTTTTGAATTTCTTGTATTCTAAGTTTCTGTGTTCTGATGGATGTTCTTCTGCATATGCAGTTTGGATTTTACTGCCTTCTATTTTTTAAAGTTTAGCTTAACACAATGGAGCATGGTGTGCAGTACCCCAAGGGGGACCCCCCACCTATTCTCAATGACAGACATTGAAGATTAACTGTACAATTGGTGAATGCTTGTTGGTCCCACTAATATTAACCTCTACTGTTCATCATCAGGGAGGGATGGTGGAGACCCTTTAGAACACCATATACAATACTCCATTGGCAGGGTTGTGACTTCAGTGGGCATCCTTTACAGTTCATACTTCCATATGTGCAACTTCAAAAAGTAAAATATTGGAATCCAGAGTTAAAAAACTCAGTGAATCGACCTGCATTGGGTTGGTGTTCAGTATTGTAAGACTTGGCCAAGTCTCATTATGTTGTATTGTTTTTTTGATGTGAATGGCAGTCACACCAACATCACTTGGGGCTAAGTTGAGTCTTGAGTTGAGTCCTGTCTTGTGAACTATGTCAGAGTCCTACATGAAACCCATGAATCTCCCCCTTTTGTGTTGAACTTGTTGAATCTTGAATAAATTTTACAGCAGGAATGAAATATCTTGAAATGATCACCTGGAACATTCACTTCATTCTTTTTTGGGTAGATCAGTGGGGAATACAGGCCCCTACCTGTTTTTAGAATTAATTAGCGGTTTTTGAATGCGTCAGTGGGAATGGAAACCTAGACCGGTAGCTGAGGCTCAAGTGGTTCTACCACCACCACCTCAACCCCATTCCCGAACATTCACTTCATTCTGCATGTGCAATCTACATACTATCCTGATTTGTTATGGAACTTGAATTGCGTAAAGTTGCTTGATGTTGCAATCGTTCTTCTATAGTGGTTTGGTTTCTGTTCAGGCATAACTGAGCTTCTTAGTATGACATTATTAAAAGTATATTGTTTACATTCAATTAGAGTCTGTGGTTGCCAAACATGAAGACAAGGACCAACCTGAAGTTAATAGAAGTGTAGGCTCCACCTTGAATCAATACAAGTTTAAGGACTTCATTTGTGGTGAGGAGGCTTTGAGAATAGCTTCAGTTGAGCCGTACTGCTTACGCAGGCCTATTCGCCGTGGTCATTTTAATATTTCTCAGCACTATTCAGTACAACAGGTATTTTTCATGTCACCCTTATTTAAATTTCTGAATAAATGTTTTTTCTCCATTCAAACAATCCAAACTAAGAGACGAGCAAGTCAAACTTTTCTGTTTTACAGAACGGTTGGTGTCAAGCATTTTTAATGGATAAAAAAAAAAAGTCTGTCACAAGCATCTCATCTGCAATGAGTAAGAGTAGTCCACATTAATGTGATTTAAAAATTAGCATTGAGAATGAATTGTAACATTGAACTTTTTATAGGAGTCCATATGGTGAACTTGGATTAGCAGGAGGGGGGGGCTTGACTATTTTATTGTATAAATTGGGGTGGTGGGCTTCTTAAAGGGAGAGGTGATGGCCTTATTTAACAAGCTCAATACGTGAACATCATTATTTTCTGCCTCTCTTAGTGGGGGGAATTTTTATGTCATTGTTTAAAAACTTGGACTATGTTCTGTTGACTTGATTCAGGAGAAGGAAAGTGAGTTATAAAATTCTTTTTCTGGTCTTCAAGAGAAGCTCTTTTCTAAAGGAAACATACTATATGGTCTAGCCCAACCACATACTTTGCTGGTCTAGCCCCTCCAAAAACATAGCAAGGAGGATTTCTTTTTTTAATCTGGAAATTTGCCGATCATCTCTGGTTCACCCTGTGAACAATTCCAAACACACACAAAAAGAAAAATAAAGCTTTTGAGCTTTTGAAAACCAACATATTCATCCTTCATATGAACTTTTCAGGATCTATCTTAGCAAGGGAGTTGACTTGGAGCATTTTTGTCCTCCAAATCATTGTTTATGGGATTGTTCTTAGGGGTGATTAATGTGATCTGAAAATTTTCAGATAAAAAAGGCCCCCTAACTGTGTTTAGGAACGCTTGACTCATTTTAGGGAGGCTGGCTTGGAGCACTTTTTGTTCTCCAAAGTTATTATTTTTTTTGGGGGTGGGGTGGGGGGAGGGATGGTGGGGGATGAGCGCTAAGAGCCTGTCCTTATTTCTTCCACTATTCACATGGAAGAGTTGTTTCCCTATATCTCAGCTTAAAATTTTAATTTGAACAGAATCAAAATTTGGACTTATCAAATTTTTTTTGACAATTTCGTAGAACCATGTTCCATTTCTAGTTTGGATTATTTTGGGATTCAAAAGAGTCAACATTTCTTTCAGATTATTTGAAAATTCTTGAGATTTAGAGTGTTTGAATCATAGGTCACTTATTAGTGCTCTCGTACTAGCATGTATATAAATGCCAATGAGAAGGCGGAATGGTTGGCTGGGATTGAATTCATCTATATATTATGTCCAAGACTCCAAAGTTTGACCCCTCTTTGTAGCATCACAATAATATGCATTAACTTGTACTATATTGTGACAATGAATGAAAAATGATTTGGAAGGGATGGAAATTGGGTAGGGTCGACTTGAGTCGGATCCGGGTACAAACGACTTGCACCCGACCCGGGACGGGTTTGGGCTTGGGTCCGGGTCATGCTCCAAATCATTTTTTATATTATTCTTAGGGGTGATTAATGTGATCATAGAATCTTCCAGGGGCGAGGTCATCGGTCGAACAGTTGATGGAGAAAGTAAGGAACTTAGTGGCTTTCTGGGCCTCCAATCATACTCTATTCAAGTTTTTTTCTTCCTTTGACTTCCACAGTAATTGGTCCAACTTATTACTTTTAGCCAACCATAGAATCTCGAGGGCCCTGTGGTGGAGACCACCCGAAGTGGGAGCAATGAAGCATAACTTTGATGGTTGTTCTCTTGGCAACCTTGGACCCTCAGGAATTTGGGGGCTTTATCGTTCTAGTGATGGCAGCACCCTGTTGACATATTCGCGACCTATAGGTATTGCAGACTCCACTCTTGCTAAGGCTCTAGCCCTTTTGGAGGGCCTTCGCAAGTTTACCACACCTGGAGTCACAGCATCGTGGTGGAAGGTGATGCCAATAACATTATCCACTAGGCATCCAACCGCTTATCATGGCCTTGGCGCCTTGACAACATTTTTGACAGGCTTCTTCATTTAACAAGCAACTACATGATCTCTTGACGCCATGCCATGCCTACAAAGAAGCTAATTCAGAAGCTGATAGATTGGCAAAAAAAGGGGCCTTCTTAAATATTTCTTGGACACTTAGGCTTCTGCGCCATATGTCTGCCTAGTCCTCCCCTTCGAGTTGCGGGTTCTGTCTTGCATTTTTTGGATCCTTTTGGGCTGGTATAGTGTGACCATTTCGGTCACCACCTTTTTGTAAATTCTACTACTAAGTAATGCAATTATAGTGAACTCCTCTAAAAAAAAAGGTGATTAATGTGATCTGAAAATTTTCAGATAAAAACATCCCCCTATCTGTGTTTTAGGAAGGCTTTAGGGAGGGTGGCTTGGAGCACTTTTTGTACCCCAAGGCATTTTTTTTGTTTTGTTTTTGCAAGGTTGTCTTTTTGGGAGGGGAGGGGAGGGGAGGGGAGGGAGGGATGGTGGGGGATGAGCCCTAAGAACGTGTCCTTGTTTTCTCTAATATTCACATGGAATAGTTGTTTCCCTAGATCTCAGTTTAAAATTTTAATTTGAACATAATCAAAATTTGGACTAATCAAATTTTTTTTTGACAATTTTGTAGATCCATGTTTGATGTAGGAAGGAAAGGTGGGAAGTTAAATCCACTTTTTTTCTGAACCTTGAACAAGTAAACTCAGCAATAATGGGGACATAACATGACTGTAAATCAAGCCCAATAATGCAGAAAGAACATGGCAGTAAATTAAGCCCAGAGAAGAAGATTTTTCTTCTTTCACAAATAAAATTCATTCTCATAACATATGCCTCTCAAAATATGACATCCAACATTTTGTAAGCCTATGAAACCCTAATTTAACATAAGATCCAAGTAAACACTTAAGACTCTAAAATACCCCTAAAGCAATACTAAAATTTTAAAAATACCCCTGTGAACATTAAGGCGCAAACAGTAACATGTGAACAGTACTATGAATAGTTCTCAAGAATAGTAAATAAGAAAATATAAGAAAGCCCTAGAATCCCCCCCAAAAAAATTAAAATCCTAAACATAAATCCAAAAACTAAAATCGAAATATATCCTTTAAAATTGAATAGAAATTAAAAATAAGTATAATTTTTCCCTCCATCATTAATGTTCCATTTATAGCTTGGTTTATTTTAGGATTCAAAAGACATAACATTTCGTATTACGTGAAAATTCTACAGATTTAGTGTTTTTGAATCATAGGTTGCTTATCAGTGGTCTCATACTTGCACATATATAGATGCTAATAAGAAGGTGGAATGGTTGGCTGGGAAGGAGTTCATCTCTATAGTATGTTCAAGACTCCAAAGTTTGACCCCTCTTTATAGCATTAGAGCAGCCCAAAAACTTCAATTATCCCAAGCCGCATACTTTAAGACGGTACTTGAAAGATTTGGCATGGGTACGTGCATGCCAATTAATACACCCGCAAAAAAGGGAACTAAGCTAAGCATGAGTATGTGTCCAAGAAATGATGAAGAGCAAAAAATAATGGAAAGTGTACTATATAGAAGCTGTTGGATACCTCACATATATTACTATGGGCACTAGACTAGACTTAGCTTACGCTCAAAGATTAGTTGGGAGATTTCAAAGTAACCTGAAATTGGAACATTGAAGAGCAGTTAAGAAAATATTTAGAAACTTAATTATCTTGTACTATATATTGTGACAACAACGAATGAAAATGATTTGGTAGGGGTGGCAATTGGGTTGAGTCGACCACGGACCCGATGGGTCTACCCGAATTTGGTCCAGGTGAAGATCCAAGATTTAGATCTTGAGGGTCTGGTATCTGGGTCCGTGTTGGACCCCTATCGGGTCGGGTTGGGTTTGGGTCTGGGTCGACCCGACCTTGTATAAAATATATCAAAGAATATTAGACAATATTAAAAGTAATTTTTTATTTTTTACTTTTAATTCTAGACTTGTGTCTGGGTGGGGTTCGGATGCAAATTACTTGGACCTAGGTCATTGGACCCAATGACCTGACCTGTTGACACCCCTATGATTTGGTTGAGGAATCGATATAATGTTGATGAACTCCTAGTATATAAGGTAGCTTAATTTACGTAGATTAACCTTTTCAGTTAGATCTAAGCTTTTCATATATTCCTTATACCTCTCATTGCTTACCTTCTTTTAATGAGGAAAATATAATAAGTTGTCTTATGTCAGGTTTGCGAAGACCTTTCTACTATTTGGGACTGGGTTCTGAAAGAGAAGCTGCACATCTTTCCTGCTGAAAGATATAAGTTTTCTGTTATTCTTGTTGTCCCTGATGCTTTCGATAATCGTGGTAAGTTCAGAGCTTCTGAATCTTTATTTCAATATCTTAATGATACACAGATGTTATGGCTTTTAATCAGGAGAATCGAGAAAACATTATTTTTGCCTCAAACTAGTTCTAATTCAAGTTATAAGGTCATTACAGTGTAGAATATTAGGACTGTTCACAAGCAAATACATATGACGCTTTCAGAAGTTGCCTCTATATACTCTGTTAAATTTGCCTATTGTGTATGAGTCTTTTGTTTGGTGTGCCTGTTGTGTATATGTTGTTTGTTTGGTGTTTGGTCACTTGACTTAATTGGTAGGATGTTAGGGCTATAGTATTAATATTCAAGATTGGAATCCCATCCCCAAAAAGGAAAGATGTATATAATGTGTTTACTGTGGAATGGAATGGAGTTTTAGTCATTTGACATTCTTTTGTACCATAGAGGTTATCTTGGTCTTCATTCATCCTATATCTTTGGTTGTGCAAATGTCTCTTGACTCACTGATTAGTCTCGTTTATTTACCTAAGCTTCATGTCCTGGTTCCTACCCTGACTGTGGCATGGCATTAAAGCCTGTTCTCTGAATAAATAGTGATATAACAAAAGATTCAGTGGTTACATTCATGTCTCTATGACTTCCTAGCAATACCAAAGCTATTTGTTTCTATTGGTCACATTTTCACATTTGGTTCCAATTTAGGTTGGGGGGGGTGGGGAAGTGCTATATGCACTTGTGTGTGTGGGGTGTGTGGGGTACGAGCATTCTTGGGTGACACGAAGGTGAGTTAGAAAGTTTTATAATTTAAAGAATTCTGAGGAGTTATCAGTTCTTCATAATCCCAGAACTTCACATCTTGATGCGGCATCTTCATTTTCCCTTTTAGGTATTTGTCTCCAAATAATTATCAGTAGGTACATATTTGCTTACTTGAAATTATTGCATGGTATTGTAAGCATATGATGCTAGTTTATTGGAGTTGACTCTCTCTCTCTCTCTCCCTCCTCTCACACGCACACACACAACGCAGTTGTGCTGTATATGCTGCTGAGTGTCGAAAGTGTGACAGAAACTTGTGTAGAGTTCTGCAGTGAACGGTGCATCTTATTTTCAAACTTCCCCGTTGTTGGGTTCATTGGGAAAATGTTTTATTTGTTTTGAAATGTTCACTGGGAAAATGTTTTGAGGTGAGGTAAACTTTCATGATCACCTGGATTATGTCTGGTATGATGGTAGTCGACAATGCTTGGTTTAAAAATGTGTACATTTTGTAGCGCTAGTAATGGGAATTGAACAATGTCTTTTGGAGGCAAGATGAGTTGAGTATGATGGTGCATGCACTAGATGAGGAGAAACAAATGTTTTCTGACCTTAATTGTAGGCAACACTGTTATAATTTGAGTACCCCAATAAATCTTGGGCCTAGTATGGTCAAGCATGAAGCTGAGTGTTGTGCTATACTTGTTTAACCAGATTGGTCCTTCTTGAGAAGTTCTGTCTCAAGGTTTGAAAGCTGCGAGTAAGTTTTCTGTTTTCCCTAACAGAGATGAGTTTTGAATCTACATTTTACCAATTAATGAAGATGGATGTTGGTTTACAGAGATTGTTGCTTTAAGCTCATTATTGCAAGTTAAAAGGATTTCTAGCCATACCAATGGTAATTTTTTACTTGGGGATACTCGGTTTGGGCACATAAATTATTACTTTAATATATTATTACTCATCAAGCCTAAAAACAAGGAAACTGTTTTTTTCCACCATCTGCAATTTTCTATGCAAGAATACATGAAGATCAGGTTAGTCACCACTTTAAACAAGGTTATGCTGATTTGGTGCTTAAAGTCTTTTTTTTTTCCGTGGGTAGTTTGGTGGGGAACAGGTTCCCTACCCGTGATAGGAATGGAACTCAAGATCACGGTTTCAAAAAGCGCTAGACGGCACCTAGGCGGTTGGGGGGGTCCAGGCCGCCCAGAACCTGGGCTGCCTAGTAGATTTTTTTCTTTTTGTTTGGGTTTTCTCTATCAAAAATAGCCTCTAATGGGTTTTAGGTTTCAAATGAACCTAAACCCACAATTTTGCCCCTTTAGTATTAAAAAAATGACCCAAAAATACCCTCAAAGAGCTGCATTTCCGTCCCTGGGGCGGGGCGCAGGCCCTGGGCGGGTGTCTAGGCGAGTTCTCGAGCTCCTAGGCGGGCGCCCAGGGATATACGCCTAATTTGGCCGCCTAGGCCTAGGGAATGCGCCCAGGCCTTCTGAACTGCCTAGGTGGCTGCCTAGGCACTGGGCGGTCCGCTTTTTAAGACACTGCTCAAGATGTCACATTATGATGCCCCACCACGCTGACCACTTAGCCTTGAGGCCATTACTATTTGGTGCTTAAAGTCCCTCGAATATGCATACAAACTGTGACAGCTGTTTCCTTTGACTTTTCTTGGTAAGACTTATTTATCTTTCTTATTATATCTGGAATCAACTTTTCTTTTATTGTACCTTTTCATTTTCGTTCCATATTGTTTGTAATAACTCTGTTCTGTTTATCAACAGAAATAAAGGAAACCTTATCCATTGTGTTGCAAGATTTACGTTTTGGATCAGCAGTGGTACATCAGGTGTTTTTATTGATTTATGGCCTCTTGATTTATGGTGTCTTGTATTATAACTCTCCTTCTTCTGGATGCATTTCATTACAAATATATAGGCCAGGGTATTTCTTTATAAGCATCATGCACTTGTGATAAAATTTTTTACTGAGAAATAAGTATTTCCTGATGTTATGTATTTCTATATAGGCCAGGGTATTTCTTTATAAGCGTCATGCACTTATGATAATATTTTTTACTGAGAAATAAGCATTTCCTTGATGTTATGTATTTCTATACTGTAGAAATTTCATATGGAATACGTTTTGGTTATTTTCAGCGATTTTACCGAAATATTGGTTTGTCATTTTAATGTATAGGTCTAGAAAACTTTCATTTAGGATAGTTGGGTATCATTAGCTTTGTTTGTTGAACATGTCATATTTAATGCATCTTAGAATGCATGTCTTGTTCGTAGGAGCAATGCTTTTTTTAATTATCTTCTCTTTACTTGAATTTAGTAGTAGTGTCTCAGTTAGTGCTATTCCGGAGTAATATTTTCGGGTACCATTTTCAACAGGAAGGTCTTGCTGCTGCCTTTGGGAATGGCCTGTCGACTGCATGTGTTGTGAACATGGGAGCTCAAGTGACATCTGTTATTTGCATTGAGGTAATGATGGATTTTTCTCTCTTCTATGAGAGTGTTGAAACTGGTATAAAAATACATAATGTCCTTTGAATTTGACATTTTTTTTTAATATCTAAAGGAAACTATGCTATACTCCAATTAAGTAATAGTACTATAAACCAATGGAAATTGGAAACCATGATATGTTGAGTTTTTCATTGTTCCAGTAAACTGGATGATGACAGACAGAGAGTAAGATCATCACTGGGGTCTCTGCTTCTGTTCTGATGGGTCCTGTTCACTGTTCATCATAGTCCATTTCATTGGACGGTGATGACCCCTATGGACTGTGGTTTTCAATAGTCCATCTTATTGCAGTACATGTTCCCGTAAACTCAAAGTAGTCATTTTCATTTTGACTCTAATAATTACTCAATTATGGGGTTTTTAAGATTTTTTGTCTCCTACACTAATCATTTGCTCTGCTGTTGCTTAGGATGGAGTGGCTTTGCCTAACACGGGTGTAACTCTACCCTTTGGTGGAGAAGTATGGTTCCTTGTATCGCTTGACTTACTAAATGGATCTTTTTCCCTAGTTCTTTTTGTTATTTGTAGATGGATAACCGGAGTGAGCAGTAGAATGTATGAGTAAATGTGTAAAACTCTGGTTAGTTGAGTCGAACTGCCTTATTTGTTGAGACTTTGGTTGACATCAATGCATGTTACCGGCAGCCAATTTTTTATCTTTAATCATCTATCTTATACATCTATTTGTATGGTCCTTTCCTGTATTCAATCCAGCTAGCTTCGCTAATTTAGCATTATATATATGTTTGTATGTATGTATATATGTACATATGTATTTTGTGTATATGTTTGTGTGTTTGTGTGTGTGTGTGTGATGTGTGTGTGCGTGTCTGTGTGTGCATATATTTATGTATTTTATCTAGTGGATTTGGTTTTGACTCAGGCTAAGTCTCAGCCAAGGTTTAACTTTTAAAACTCTGGGTACGTCTTTGCTCTGGGTGCATCTTTGCATCATTTGACTTGTTAAATACTTTAATTTACGAGAATAGCCCTGAATTACTCATTGACGTCCTCAATACTTCTGTCGACGTACTCAGTGTTCTCTTTGGTAGATTACTTTCACTCTGAATTTTTGAATGAAATTTCTTATTTACTAATACTTTTGCACATGCCTTTCTCACAGGATATATCTAGATGCCTCTTATGGGTGCAGGAACATCACCAGACTTGGCCGCCTGTTCATACTGACCTTGTGGCCAGACCGGTTGACTTGCTAATGCTCAATAAGTTGAAAGAGTCTTACTGTCAAATCCATGTGAGTATTGTCCAACTATTTATTTATTTATTTTTGTTTTGCTTCCTTTCTTCTATAGGACTAGCCGGATTACAAATGACTGGATATTTCTTTACGGTACGTATGGTTTGTGCGTATATGTTTTTTGAAAAATATTTGCACGTGTTATTTGCGTTTCATACATTTGTTTGGTGTGTAATGCATATACAAATAAATGCCATGGTAAAACATTTTACCATGGAATGGTCTAGTTCATGGTAAAACAAAATCTCATCTCTTGAGGTGGGGAAACATTCCCTGTGCTTTTATTTTCAAGTGCGGACCCACTATTCACTATTTACAATATAATATATATTGCATACTATTTTATTTATATATTAAATATATAAATTATATGTCAATAATATTTAATATCATCATCATCATCATAGCCTTTTCCCAATTAATTGGGGTCGGGTACACGAATCCTAGTCCGCATTCAGCTCTATTTAAGGCCATACCCTCGGTGAGACCATAAGGTCTCATATCTTTTCGGACTACTTTCAACCACGTCTTTTTAGGCCTATTCCTTACCCTTTTCAATCCTTGCACTTGAACTAACTCGCACCTCCTAACAGGTGCTGTACTAGGTCGACGCCATAGATGGTCAACCCACTTAAGTCTACTCTCTTTCATCTTATCGCCTATTAGTGCTACACCTAAACTCTTCCGAATGGATTCATTTCGGATTCTATCCTTTCTTGTCTTGCTACTTATCGATCTCAACATCCTCATCTCTGCTGCAGTCATTTTATAGGTCTATTGTTTTTTGTCCGCCCAACATTCTGCCCTATAAAGGAAAGTTGGTCTCACAACTGTCTTATAGAACTTACGCTTCAACTTCATTGGTATACGACGATTACATATAATTCCAGTTGCACATCTCCACTTTACGCACCCAACTCTAATTCTATGTGCGACATCTTCCACAATCTCTCTGATTTCTTGGATTATCTACCTAAGGTAACGAAATTTCTGTCTTTTTTGTACTTCCTGGCTGTCAATCTTAAACACTTCCTCACCTCTATTCCTATTATTACTAAACTTGCATTCCATATACTATCTTAGACCGACTAATTATAAAACCTTTGGATTCTAGAGCATCCCTCCAAAGTTATAACTTTGTGTTGACTTCGTTTCGGGTCTCATCAGTCAAAACTATGTCATCTGCAAACAACATGCACTATAGTATCTCATCTTGCAAGTGCTTAGTTCAGTTGTCTATAACTAAGACAAAGAGGTACGGGCTCAATACCGACCCTTGATGTAAACCTATTGTCACTGAAAACTCACTCGTCTCTCCATCATACATATTTCAATAATGTTTAATATATAATATATAAATAACAATTTATGTAAATAATATATTATTTTATATTATACCATATTATATAACTTAGATATAATACCTATTAGTTTAGGGTGTGGTTTCTATAAGGTTACAACCTTAAACAATCCAATTAAGGTGCACCTCCAAATTTTATCATAACATGTAATTTTAGTGAAAAACATTCTTAGGATTATCTCAAAATCTATTTTCATATCTAATTATAAAATTTTAAACTCCAAAAATAGTTAAAATCAAGTAGATCTATAAACATATGGAAATATTGAAAATGAACAGTCTAGATAATGTATTGCAAGATGCACTAATTCTCGGACTCAAAGTCACTTTTTTTGTTTTTTTTTTCATATTCATATATCTCGATGTCGAGATGATCAATTGGAGGTTTTTTCAACATTAAAGCAACCTTTTTCGATGGATTTTTGAGATGCATCTGTAATTCTACATTTTAAGGTTGCAACCTTATATAAACTTTTTCCACTAGTTTAATATGATATCATAATATAATACATAATATTAGTGTTATTAGTATAATATAATATATAATATTACTATATAATATTATATTATAAATTAGTTTATATATTATATTATATTGTAATATATAATATAATATAATATATACAGTTAATATATTTATATTAAATATACTATTAATATATACTTATATTGTATTATATTATATTATATTATATTATATATCTTGTATTTTTTATTCATATGTTTTATTTTTGTAATAGATATTTACAATACAATATATTATATAATATTTTATATTTACTAATTTAATATATAATATTTTAATAATATTTAAATAAATATAACTATATATTTTAGTTAGAATATTTAAATTTTGCATGTATAGATTTCATATATTTACAAAATATATTTAGATACCAAACAAGTTGCCAAACATATGTAATTCATTACACAATGCTTTTTAAACGTGTTAACAACCATGGTGAGAAGAAAGTTTGCAGAAGTTTTTCCTTTAAAGTGCTTACATATGTAAATATTTTTTTCATGGGGAGGTATTTACGCACCAACTAAACGTGCCCTAACTAAAGAATACTTGGTTGGGTCCACGACATAGTCCTTAATGCTTATGAAATACATTTTTTCTTTTTTCCAATGAATGGCTCAAAGGATTCTGTTTTCAAGATGGTTATTACATATAGCATATTCCCATGAGGTGTAAATTTAAGCTTTTTATATTTATAAAATGTGAAATCAGTGCCTTTAACATATTCATAATTGATGCTTGTGATCGTATAGTCAAAATATGAAACAGGACATGGAATGGGCATTTTTTTTTTTAAATGAGTATTTTCTGTCAGTCCAGTCTTTTAAAAGAAATACCTGATTGACATTAAAAACTCCATTAGGGTTAAAATGGTCATTTTCTTAAAATTTGATGTCCGAGCACTGTTTTGAAATTTCAATGTTGTATTTCACTTCCATGTTATGCAGGTTTTCCTGGCACTGTTTCTATAGTTTCTCTTCGTACGTATTCTATCCATAGCCTTCTATGGTAACTCACTAACTCACCTTTTAAATTAGTTTTTGAGTTGGTCCATTGTCATTTTATAAACAGAATGGTTTCTGCTAAGTTCACGACAATTGAGTTGCCCTTTATAAGTAATAATAGTCATCCTTAGATGCTTGTAATCTCTTAAGTTTATTAATGGTCATTAGATACGAGTAATCTCTTAAGTTTATTCATTACCATTTTTAGTGATTACTTTTATAGGGATACCTCATAAATGATATAAATAATGATTTTCAATGCCATCTGGGTTTTTAGTAACCTACTGATATTTATGATCCTTAGCTTCTTTTGTATGAGTAAGTTTGGCGTATCGTCTGTTTTTATTTTCTGTAAATCTCAACCTCAAGATGCTCTTTGTTTCTTCCGTCATGTCCCAGTCTTGAATGACAGCATAAATAGAACTTAAGATTATTTATTAGATGTTATTGTTAATTTATATTTGAGGAAATTACCATGATTTTTTATTACATTATTTTTAAAATTCAGATATCTGATTTGCTTGACATTTTCACGAAAGAACATATCTAACATGCAAGATACTATGGGCACAGATAATATCGTTTGTCTTGTATCTTCAAATTATGTGTTTTGATATCATCATCATCATCATCATCCGAGCCATATCCCATCATCATCATCATAGTATACGTTGTGATAGCAGCTTCCTAATATTCCTGTATGTCACTGTCTTGGACAGGAAGGGGAGCTTGATGCTGTGGCAATAGTTCATTCTTATGAGAATGGATTGGGAGCTGAAGCTCACAAGATGAGGTTAACTTCTCTCAATGTAGGTCTCTCAAGTATTCCTATCACTACTGCCCATTTTACTTTTCTGAGTATGAAATGACTTCAGATTTGTGTTGTGTTTGGAGAATATTTTACTCTCTGCTTGTTCCTGCTAAATAACAATCATGTCTAGTACCCTATTCCTTGTGTAACTTGTTGGTCTCCTTGTCAACCCGTATAATTTTACCTTGGGGAAGGTATCAGGCTAGTTCTTGGAACACCAGGTCATAGAGGTGGTCCATGAGCTTGAAATATCAAGGCAGTTATTGGATCTGTCAATTTTTTTAAGTGGCTATTTACTGCTGGTAATTTTACCTTTCATCCATCATTTCTTTGGTATTTAAAAGTAGGAATAGGATAAAATTATCATTTTAAGAAAAGAAAATTGCGTCCGTACCCCTTTGATCAACCATTATTACTAAAATCCCTATAAGTTGGATATATTAGCCTCATACCCATTTTGAAAACCCATTATAAAAATGTTCGATTTTTTTCCCAAATTGCCCCAACCTCGGATTTTCAAAATCCGAAGTTGTCAAGCACTTCAATTCACCCCATATATGCCCCTGAAGTCATTATTGGGTTTTTGCACCAACAAATTTTAGGGTCTCAAACCCGGAAATTGTTACTAGAATCGAATCAAATTGACAACAGTAACAATTCAAGTTTTGAAACCGAGAAGTTGTTATTGGATTTTGCACCAACAAATTTCAGGGTTTCAAACCTCAAAATTGTTACTGGAATTCGATTGAGAACAATAAAAATTTTGTGATACGAAACCCCAAAGTACCCCGGAGTTGTAAAGTTATCTTTCAAAGGAACTTGGTAAACTTCCGGATTTATGGGTATTTTGGTCATCATCATTAGATCTTTTTTCCATCTATTTGAAGTCGGCTACACGAATCCTGGTCTGCCATTCTGCTCTATCAAGGGTCATACCCTCAGTGAAGCCCTAAGTCCCATATCTTTTCTCACTACTTCCAATCATGTCCTTTTGGACCTATCCTTTAATTTTTCTGAGCCTTCCACTTGAACTAACTTGCACCGCCTAACAAGTGCTATATTGGGTTTGCGCTGCACATGGCCACTGCACCTAAGTCTACTTTCTCTTATCTATTTTGGTCATTTAAAAAACAAAGCTTGAGAAAATAGGTATGATTGTAATACTTTAAAAATGGGGAATTTAGTAATAACAGTTAATTAAAGGGGTACAGATGTAATTTTCTCTTTTAAGAATCTAGTTTTATTTTGATATTTGTAGTTTTTGGATCACCTGCATTATTTCTGCACTATATTTCTGTATTTGTGAGCATACATGGCAATGCATAGAAATATGTGCAAAGTACATATGGGCATATATAAATATGGACACTTATGTTTTTTTAAAAAATGGACTTGTGTTTATTTTCATGTCTATATCAACTTGTACGATATGTGACAAAGTTTACATAGTTTTTTCGAAAAGTAGAGTCTGAATATAAAAGTATTGTATATATATCCATGTATAATTGCTCTAGGCATTGAAGCTCTATTCAGAAAAGGAAGCTGTAAATTTTATTTTGGTGTATTATGGTGTCATTGGTACCTATTATGCCACTAATGAACTTTGATGTTGTTGGGTATAAAATTTTTGGGAAACAGGTACCTCCTATGGGTCTCTTCCATCCACTAGTCTTGGTAGCTGATGAATGTCCACCTCCTCCCCGTCCTTTGTGAGTTTTTTGACCGAAGAAGTCTATACATAAAAGCTATAGTAGCAGAGTCATTTTGACCTGTGATTTTAAAATGTCTACTTATAATAATTTCCTCAGTTTTCACGACTATGATGATATGCTCGAAGATCCATTTCATGGAGAGTTTTATCGAAGACCTGACATGCCAGATGGTCTATTTTATACCGGAAATGGTTATGCTGCCATGTGGGATAGTTACCCAGTTCGTCCTATAGTCTTGAAAAAAGAAGAAAACCTCGGTCTAGCAGAGGCGATCACTAGAAGTATACTTTCAACAGGTGAGAGTTTCATGTGCCCCCTCCCCCCCTTCCCTCCCTTCCTTGTTCTTTTTCTTTTTGGGTAAATGTAACTCTTATGGTGTATATTTATCCACAGATGTTGAATAATGTTGATTGCAATTTTTCACTGAAACCACGATTTTCTGGTTATATCCCAGGGCGTATAGACCTCCAGAGAAAGCTGTTTTGTAGCATCCAACTGGTAAGTGCTTGTTGGAGTAGAATATGCACAATGCCAATTATCTAGTTTTCTGTCTTCTTAGAGATTTTTATATTGTCTTGTACTTCAGATTGGTGGAGTGGCTTCAACTGGTGGGCTTGTTGCAGCTGTGGAGGAAAGGTAGAGACCCTATGAAACTTATCAAAGGGGGAAGGTTGAGGCTTATATGAGTTCCCGAACAGAGGGACAATGTGATACTTTGTTTTCTCATTTTAGAGTTGGAGATTGGGGAGTTCGTTTTGCCCTTCATGAAAAGCTCAATTACCGAAGAGAAAAAAAACACAAATATAAAATTGATGTGAATCTCAAAGACTTCATGGACTTCGTAATTTTGCGGCGGTTCTAATGAGCTGTAGCTATCTTTAGACTATTTAAATTTGCTTCATCTGATTTACAAGGACATTATTTGGTGTAATGGGTCTTGATGAAGGTTTCTTGCCTTTGAACATCTGTTCTGATATCTCTACTACCATTCCATTTTATATATTCTGAGGATGGCATTCTTGTGCTAGTAATGATACAGAACTGACAATTCTATTCTGTCCATTTATGTTTAAGTTTTGCAGTCAATTTCATCTGAAAAATTGATAACTCGATAGTTACAATTAACTTACTAAACCTTAAAAAAAAAAAAAATTACCTTGACAAAGTTTGCTTATGCCTTTCGGTTTCAGGGTCTTGCGGGCTATTCCTGCAAATGAAGCTATCGACACCGTTGAGGTAGGTTTGTTTGACATTTTTTATTTTCCTATATTGTAGTTGAAATGATGTTATTATGTGTGTCTCCTTGCCCACGTTTACATAAGATGGAATTCAAATGAGTGATGGATTGCGTATATTTTGTAGATTTATCTAGTTATAGAGGCAGTGCTGCATTATACTATTTGTATTCCTTTTATTTACTTTATTCTTAGAAAAGGGAATTTATGTCACTTGGCCATAAGTGGCTTGCATATAATTCCTAAGGGCTCCATTGTTCATTAATAAGAACTATTCTCTCTGATGTCCCCTTGGTTATTCATGCACTCTGTTCCCCTCTCATTGCTCTCAAGTATACTTGGAGTGTTGGTGGATATTACTTGTCAAAGTTTTGTAGCAATCAAAGGCCAACCATAGATATTGTCAAAGTAGGGAACTTTGGCACCTTTTGGATGTTTATAGTACAGCTTCTGGTGCCTGTATCCTATCGCCGTTGGATTCTTTAAAGCATCACTTTGATGAAAACTCCAAAGCTAGGCCTCTTACATCCGGAGATGTCATTTAAGATATCACGGAGAGGTTATGAGATGTTATGCTAGCCAGTTATTGAAGATTCTTCCGAGGATTGAGCATTAGTCCTTCTCGGATGAGTTTGTATTTTTGGAGTAGGGTCTGTCGATCCATTATCAGGAGGGAGATATCCTCAATGCCATTTGATGGAGGAGAGTGGATTCCATTTTATTTGTGGAAATTTAATAATATCTTTGTGGAAGACAGAGATGTCTTCAGCCTATTTGTCCAAGGTTAATGTACTTAGATTATTTACATGCTTGTGGTGATGGTTATAGATAAAGGGATATCAGTGTGGGTTAATGCAGTACTTGATGATGGTGCTACTTCATTGTGATATGTGTGTTTATCTGCAGATGAAGCTTGACGACATTGATTCTAGTGGGGCATTGGATCTGTGGTTCAGTTGAGTAGGCATGATATATAAATGATCACAGGGCTCTATTTGCTCATATTTGTATGATCTCTATGTGGAGGTTCCAATATCCTAATATATTTATCTGACTAACCTTTGATCAAAGTAGTAAAAATTTAAAATTCTCCACGCAGTCTGATCTTCACTGATAAAAATAGTTAGATGTTTCTCCCCTGTTTTGCCAAGTGTTGATACCATGTACTTTTTAAATGATTCAAATAGGTATACATTGGTTTATTTCATTTGGCACTCAATGGAATTCTTCATGTCAACAAATATTTTGAACCTGAAGTTGAAACCTTCTCTGTCTGATCAAGCTTTTCCTATATAGATTCAAGGGATGGCAAGCATCTCTATGGTGGTTAGCATTCATGGAGGCAATTGGAATATTTTATCAGGGCATTGCATATGATGACTGAAAGAAATTATAATTATTATGATTGAAGCCTTAGTTACCACTGTATTTCACTCATTATCCTCGAAACTAGTATGGCATGCAACTGTGGTGTCTCATGAATTCTCTGGTCATCTGTTGACAATAATGAACATTCAGTAAACTTTATTTGTGTTACCACCCTTCTACTGGTATCTTAATTTTTTACATGGACATGGCATACTAGTATAGATGTTATTGTGAATGTGAGGTGTGTGGCAGGGAGGACAAAATGCCCAAAATATTGAAATTCATCTGCATGAAGTTGCTAAATATTAAAACAACGAATTGTAGAATTGATGTGTAAAAGTATATCAATTGCTAGAAAATTCACAAAGAATCAGGAACAATGGAAATCTAGAAGAAAATTTCAAACTACTCTCAACGCAATTAATTTCCTGGCTAAATCAAAAGGAGAATGTCACAATTTAAGTGTTTTCATGGTGCAGATCTTAATCCCTGCATATTGTGATATACTTATGCCTGATGATATTTTCTGTTATTGATTCATTTGATTATAAATATTACTTTTTGCCAGGTACTGCAATCAAGAGGTGATCCAGTCTCTGTTTCATGGAAAGGTGGAGCAGTAAGTATCCTCCATATTCGTAGTTGTCCAGCTTCTACTTCTGTGCATCCTCGTCTTCTCTGTGTGGCTACTGGGGAATTGAATTTTTCCGGCTATTTCTCGTGATTTTAATTCCTGTGAGAGACTTGTCTGCCACACTTCTCGATCCCTTTCTACAAGTCTCTCTCATGCCTCCCAATGTCTTGGTGAAGGATTTGTGGGATGAACAAGGTCATTATCTCTGTTTAATACAAACCAGAAATTTAAAATGCTGCAAGACAAGGCATAGAAACTTAGGGTACGTTTGTTTCGTGAAAATATTTTCACGTGAAAGAATTCTCTCATGTGGTTAAGTGTAGAAATATTTCACACCAATTGGTCCTAGTGCATCTTTCACACCAGTTGACAACTAATTAATGTGAAAATCATTCCCACACCTAACCACATGAGAGAATTTTTTCACATGACTTGAACCAAACGTGGTATCACATCTAGTTCTGAAGTTTCTATTATGAAACCACCACAGTCATGCCCTGTTCTTTGAACACTTCTAGTTCTATCCATGGAGTGGGATTCCACGGCCTGTAATCCATGTTTTGTGGCTTCTCAGAGCTCCTAAGGATAGATGCTAGCGTTTTCTATTTAGAGTAGCTCCAGAGAAAAATGGTTGAGGGGACTTCAGTACTCACTAGGCATCTTCTTGGTTAGGGAATGAGAATAGGAGGTAACGACATGTAGGAACCTTGTGCAAACTTTTGGTTGGAACAATACAGACTTGTGCAAAGGTTGATACCTCTCGGATAATTCCTGTGGGGAAGAACACCCTATTGGGGCCAACCTGAGATCATGGAATTCTCTCAAATCGTGTGGACTTTCTTTTTGAAGTGATTTGCAATCCTCTTACTTTCCATGAGGGAGAGTTACGTCATCAAATAACTTGATGGGTTGGTACACCTTCTAACATTTAATAGCTTAATTGTTCAGTTGTTCCCAACATCACATTAATTTATAAAGGATTCATTTACTTTCTCATTATTTGTGCATGTGATATGCTCTCTCTCTCTCTCTCTCTCTTGGGCCATGTGCTTGACCCTCCTCCCGCCCCCCTTTGTCTTTCACTCTCTGGGCTAATGTGCTTCTCTGCCTCTTTGTCTTTCACTCCGCGGATCATGTGCCTGCCCCTTCTCCCGGCCCCCTTTGTCTTTCAGGGCTAATGCTTCTCTGCCTCTTCTTCCCAGATTCTTGGCGTCCTTGACCTCGTTCGAGATGCTTGGATACAACGAGAAGACTGGATCCAATCTGGTATTCATGTAGGAAGCGGCAGAAAATATAGAGATTCATATTACCTGCAGGCCCAAGCAATGTGGTACATAAATAGCTAACAGGTATCAACTCTTATACATGAAGCACATCAATACTATTCGTTTGGCTGCCATTAGCCACCTGATTGCTCTCTTGATCCCTCTCTTCCTCAAAGCAGCAGTAATCTAACTTACAATTTGGTTTATATTTAGTTGTCCCTATGGTGTACACCATATGCCAACTATGTTAAGTTACACTTCCCTGAAATTGTATACTGTTTCATGAGTTCCTTCATATGTTTATAAATGAGAGAATTTTTTGGTTATTATATAAAGAAAAAGAGATCATATGAAACAAAGTTACAATTTATAGGGGGAGCATATAATGCTGTCATGTGGGGATACAATATATTCATTGAACGATAATTTCATGTCATGATTTAGTAGCATTTAGGGCCATGCTTGACAAATTTTATCTCTAAATTTTCAGCAAACAAAACAACATGGTATGCTTCGACCGCTATTAAAGTACAAAACGTACAATATTTTATTGGGAGCATCAATGAAACAATAAAATAACTCTAAACATAGAATTTACAATAACAAATAACAAGAGATAAGATTGCTTCTACAATAAAAAAAAGAGGACTTCACTGTAGGACTGGAGTCAACAAAAACCCAAAGATCTAATATTGGGAAATAGTTGTCCACCCAAATTGTTTTATAGACCAATGAAAGAATAAAAGCCCACAAATTTAATCAAAACTTATGGACACAGAAATTATCTTATATTTACGGGAAATGAGGCCCAAGAGATCAACTACCTAGTTACCACCTCCTGGAGGATGGGTGAAACTAAACTTTGATGGAAATATTCGAGGGGAGGATCAGGTCTCGGGATATGGGGGCTTGTTGCAGGACTCAAATGGAGTCGCTCAATGGTCATATCAAGGTCGGCTGCGTCAATGTGGGGCTAATGAAGCAAAGTTGTGGGCTCAGAAGATTGGTGTGTCCAAACTAGATTCTAGCCAGTTGTGCAGATTATTGAATGGACTTAGCTAATGTAATTTCATGGGACCGAGACCAAGACAACACCCCCGTGGTTTTGGAGTATTATAATGGATGAAATCCTACTCTCGTTTCATGGAAGAGGGTTTTATCATGTTTACAGGGAGCGCAACGGAGAGGTTGACAACTATGCTTTAGTATTACTACCCTCTTAGGGCAGTCTTGTAGCCCTCTTCTCACTTTCTTTCTCTATATCCCTCTCTTCTTCTTTCCTTCTTCTCTGTTAATAACTTTTTTTATCATTTCCTGTCTTTTTTTTCTTTTTTTTTTATCTTTGTGCTGCTGTTGTACTTCTTCATTATGAAATTTTACTTGAGTTAAAAAACAAATTTGTTTTTCATTTGTTTTTCCTGTGAGAATATGTTTTTGTATTCTTGATATATGTTGATGCCTATTTTTTGGAGTGGAAAATACAGTTTATTATTATTATTATTATTATTATTTGAGAATGCATTTGTAAAACTTTTGATGACATTGTCGACTCTTAATTTAACCCACTTTTGGTGAGGTTATCTAAAATTCAAATTTCAGAGACTTTCAAATCAAAATTTCAGAACAGTTTTTCCAAGGAGAGAATTTTCTTTTGGATAGTTTTTTTTGTAAAATATAAGAAGGCATCGACTCACCAAAACATATGCGCCTTTTTATGAATCATATGTCCATCTTAGAGATGGACCAAAAATGGTGCTTCCACTATATTGAAAAATGGACGGTAGAAAACATAATCGAAATGTATGTTATTTTTCAAAAAGAAAAAAAAAATCATATTTTTAATAAATACAATAGTTGAGATTAACAAATCCCAAAATTTTGGATTCAAAATCCATCTTTAAGATGGATTTTAAATGGGCCTTCACATCTACATGCGAGTCAGCTGACACACCAAATACTTTTTCAATTCACCAAATACTGTTTCAATTTAAAATAAGGACACGGTTTTAATGAGTCCATGTAGAAATGAGTCACCTCTTAAAAATTTCTATATTTGAGATGGATTTTTGGACTTGATTTTTACATACATGTAATCTCTAACATGGAGATCATGAATATTAAAAAATAAACAAAATTTGTATATTAAAAAGAAATTTATTAAGAAAACATTTGGACAGTTAGTTTCAATTGTTTTTAAAGGGATCACCTATTTGCATGCTTTATATCTTGGGGACCACAAATGTAGAAATGCAGTCCCCACCGCATGAAACAATTTGCCTTAAAGTAATCACTTATGTGATACCCTCACAGAGAACATAATTATTTTGAAGAATTGAGAGTTTTTAATTAATTTTTAATAAGGGTGTGGAGCTGAGATTCAAAATAATCAAATTAGAGCCCACCTTCAAAAAGTATCATGGTTTTAATATTGTGAATCTTTGTAATAGCTTTGAAATATATTTTTATCTTTAATTATAAAATTTAAAGCTTAAAAAATAGTGTAGATTGAGCAGATCTATGAATACTTGAAAATTTTGAAAATTAAAGGTAAAAAATATGTTATAAGATGCATTATTTTTACAACTTGAAATCAATTTTTTTCTCATGTCCATGCATCTTGATGTCGAAAGGAACAATTTGAAGATATTTGGGTATCAAAACAACCTCTTCTAGTAAAATTTTTGAGAGGGGCTCTAATTTGATTGTTTAGAGCCTTGGCTCTTTATAAACTTTTCCCTCAAAAAAAACAGGGGGACTTTTAAGTCGCACGTTTTAATCGGGACGCCCAAATTATGTTGTGGATCAAAGTGAGATTAGTGGTCTCGTAGTCCCTTGTTGGTCCGGCGTCGAAATAACACTAGAATGTGTTTAAAATAAAAGAAATTTATGAACACAATATTGGGATGTGTTTAATAAGAAAAGAGATGCTTTCAAAATATATCCTCCCTCGTAGACAACCATCTTTTTGAAGGACGACCATATTTCAATGGCTAATTGAAAAATAAGAGGTTCGTATACCGCGTCAACTAATGTTGTTGAAGTTAGAAAATCCTTAAATTGGTGACTCCATCTTGAGATTTATAAATATGAAAAAAAGAGATTTCAATTCATAAAAATAGTGCATTTTATAATGCATTATATGGACCATTCATTTTTAAAAATTTTAATTGTTTATAAATGCTCAATTTACATAATTTTTGGATCTTTAAATTTCATGACAATAAATTTTTATGCCAAGGCTTTCTTACACCAAAACTACATCTATGAAAATAGTTTTTCGGTGCGCCTTATTTTTGATTGCTCAAAATTAATGCCACCAGCTGCCAGACCACCTAACCGTTTAGGTATAAGACCTAGGGATTAGAAATACAACTTAATATTTGTTTTCACTGTTTTGAAAAACATGGGGGTTAAAATTGACAAAACCTTCATAAATACCATAAAGTATTGATTCTAGCCCATAAACTAGACTTATACATATCTTGAATAATTGAAAATTCACCTTTAATAGGTCACTTACAAATCCTTTGCTAAAAAATACAAGTAAACTCAATACAATAACCAAATACTCACAATATTTATCTCTACAACATATTATATAACATATATACTCAAAGTTCCTCATTCTATTGAAATGACATGATGATTTTGTCTTCAATCTTTGTTCTCGTCATATCCCACAATATTTTATACACATCATATACTTGATCATGATAATTCAGTGATATTTCAATTCACATAAATAATATTGTATAACTTTAAAGCATATACTACAAGATCATAAAATAATCTCAATTTTCACATAACATACTCAATATATTTAATCATAAATAAATCAATAACTGTAAACACATCAAATTAGTATGCAAACAAACATGGGAAAAGCCATAGTTCGAACCTTTGTGCCCGGGCCACGATCGGGTATTTTGAGAACTTAATTTTGTCTCATTGTCTCAGACATGGGTGATAATAATAATTGAAGGAGATCAATCCAATGTGGGAAGTATATGATCACTTTATTTCACTTAATGAGAATCAAATCATGCGAGAGACATGTATCAAAATAGCGTTTCAAAGTTTGATAGAGATTTCACAAAATAAAGAAGATGTGTTAAAACTACATCATGTGGTCAAAGATGGACCACATGAACTTTTCAATATGCAAAAAACAAACTCAAAAAGCTATTTCATATGCTCAAATATTGTGATATGAACTTTGATTACATCCTCAATGAAAATTTCAGAAAATTTGAATCATGAAAAACAAGGTGGAACTACTCAAGATTATGGAGTAATTAAGTTAGTTTACACATATCATGTGCATGGACTACACTATAGCTTTGAGATTCTTCAAAAACAAAATAATCATGACAAATAGATAAAAAACAACCGTAATTTAAGAATTACAACAAGCTGAGATAAAGGAAATGATGTATGAAATAAATATGAGAAGAAGAATCAATACCTTGGTGATACAATAGTATCGACTTATTCCCAAGCATGAATGACCATAGAGGAGTTTAAACTCAAAGTTCAAGGTGGAAACAACAATGGAGGGTGTGGATCTCAAGAGGCCTTAGTGGCTACGTTAAACTCAAGAGTGGCTCTCTGTCTTTGTCTCTCTCTTTGAAGTGAGTACTCAAAATTAGGGTTTGAAATGATCCTATAAGTTCCTTTATATATTAGATCATAAGTGTAGATTTCACCTTAATCTTTGATGCCTTATAATTAATAGCATATGAGAGACATTTATCCAAGCCACTCATCTACATCTCAACACCTAAGATCAATGGATGAGATTTAACATCATTCACTCCATTAAACCTAGGTTATAATAATTTTACCTTAAGGCCCTGAGCTCCATGTTTTATTTCCTATTATGTCCAAATTCATGTTTACACTTATGCCCATAGTTATTTGAATAATAGGTGAGGCTTGCAAAGACATTAGCATAAATATAATATGAGACATCCACATATGAATAAAATATCTTATGACACCACTAACAGGATCTCAATAACACTAAAGCTTCATATGGTTTAAACTCATAAAGTGATGCCACATAAGATACACACACATGCCATAAAATTATATGTAGATAATGATTTTCAAATTAAATTAATTCTCAAGATTCTATAACTTTACACATGTCAAACTAACCACATGTGTGAACAATACACCATGTGACAAAATAACTCACTTAAGTCATAACACATGAAATAACCATTTAACATAGGGTTTTAAACAAAACACAATACAACAAAAGACAAGTATGCCCTCCATGCATGGGCATGACGGCAACAAGATGCCCAGTGTTCAAGGGGGATGTGGGGGTGCCATGTGGCATCCCTATGGCCACTTGGGACCCACGTGGCATCCCCATGGCTTGTCTTTGTTCAATATTTTGTTTAAACAAAGTTGAAAATTTTATTTTTGGTATTTTAAAAAATTCCTTTTTTTTTTCAACAAGCTCAAAAATTCTTCAAATGATTTTTCAATATTATTATATTTTTTTAATCAATATAAATTATTTTTTCATCAATTTTAGATTAATTTGGGCTAAAGGTAAATGATATCTCTAGACCAAACACTAGTTTGGGTCTTCCATTGGGCTGACGCGAATAATGTTCCATCGGTGTCTCAAGCCGACTCAACGGATCTATGCTCCACAGTCAATGACACATAATTAACCACATCAAAGTCACTGAGCTGGATGTTTCCATTATCGATTTTCACAATGGATTACTGATGCATATTTGTGGGACATATTGCTACGCTAATACATGTGTCCTCTTAAAGCATATGTGCACTTGCTCTTTTAAGTCGGATAATACTATAGAAGAGTGGCTTTCCTATACGATTATGAGTGCACATGCCATGAAACGGTCTCGTATCAGGATACGGGCTCATGTCCCATAAGCCATAACCATTCCATATAGGACCAATTCTTTATTAAACACTTGGGTTCTATTTTTTTCGATTGGATTCTCCGAGCGTAGAACTTATTGTATCAATTATGAGGTACTCTAATCAATATAGTCCTTATTTGGAGGTGACCATCACACCTCCCCCAAATATAACTCTCTCAAAGCGCATGCTCTCAATGCCTCATAAAACGCGGGGTATATGAATCTGAACCCCAGTGCGTCAAGCACCCAGATTTAGTCTCTTACTCTCTAACTCTTACTGAATAAAAGACTCTTGGCTTTAAGGCCTTGAAAGGCAACATAGTCAACACTAACTCCACGACATAGAAACTTAAAACTAAGTAGTGAGATTACACGCATTGCACATAGAACTTGCAAATAAT